AAGAAAAAAAGAAAGAAAAAAGTGCTTTGGAACGGGATCAGAGCTTAAGAAACAAAATCAGGGCGTTTGGTTGGTGGTGGAAAGAGGAGAGAGGGACTGGGCCCCTGGGGCTGCCCTGAGGCTGTGGGGCTGGTGGGAGCCGCTGGAAGGCTGGCCCCCCGAGAAAGGCTGCTGGCAGACAGGCTGGTGGGAGAAGCAGGATTGGTGTGTGTCATGCTTGGCCTGGGTGTGAGTGGGGCTGGGGCCTTCCCATGGTCTCTGGGCAGAGTTGGGGCCTGCTATTCCTGTGCCCTGACGTCAGTCCTGGGCCTGGCCTGGCCGGAGCTGGGGCGGCCGCCCTGGCAGCAGCACATACAGTGCGGCACTTCATGTCCCGGGATAGACCAAGACTCATCTTACTGGGGATTCACCTCTCCAGGATGTCCTGGGTCCTCTGTGGCCTCCGTGCTCCGGGGCCAATAGGGGGCTTAGGCAAGAAGCAGGAGAGGCGGGAAAGACACAGGCCATAATTTCCCAGGATTGAAGTGAGATGTCACAGGATTGAAGTGAGTGTAATTGGAGGCTCCCACACCTCTGTCTGCGCCTCCAAGAGGAGAACCAGGTCCAGTGGAACAACTGCTGCCCAGGGACTGAGGTCTGGGGGCCCAGTGGGACAGCTTGTTTCATGGAAGGACTTTCTGTTTGAGCAGTTATTTTTAGCCTGGGAAGGAAGGCCACAGTGCAAGAAGCCATCATCCTCAGTCCTTTTCACTCCAAATTGTTTAGTCAGGGGAAGCTTGGCCCTAAATTGTGAAAACCAGGGAAGAGCTTGAATGTAAATGTACATGTACACGCCTCGCTTCTTGCCCAGGACTCAAGAGTGGAAACACACAGCAGTGTGAAGGTCATGGTCATGGTGAACCCCCAACGTCTGGAGTCTTCATCCACCTTGGGACTGTGCAGCCCTCTCACCTTTATAAGGGAAAAAGGGCTTTCGGGAATGTCAGAAATGTTATAGGACATCAGACCTAGAGTTCATTCAGCTCGGTATCATCACCACCGTCGTCATCACCACCATCGTCATCATTGCCATCATCATCACCCTTATCATCATCATCATGATCCTCATCATCACTGTCAACACCATCATCATTGAAGGGCAACAGGGGCCCATGGAAAGGGCTGGATTCCCAGAGGAGACACCCTGACCACTGCTGTTCCAAAGGCAAATGCCAGGCCCTAGGAGACCCACCCCAACTTGGGAGCCCACAATGGGCATCTTCACAATGGGGAGGGCCTGGAAGCTGAAGCCTGGGGTCAGGATGATTTGATTTGGTGGTTGCAGTTGTTTGGAACTTTGTGTGTTACCTAAGAATTTCTTTTTTTAAAAAAATCCTGGTGCTGATGCAATACCCTGGATTATTTAAATCAAAACCGCAGAGAAAGGGAAATATGGGGCCAAGTAGCAGGTGATTTCAATATGCAGCCAGTGCTGAGAATCACTGGTTGAGACCAGTGTAGACAAGCACTTCTCAGACTATAATGTGCCCATGAATCACCCGGCCATTTTGCTAAAATTCGGATTCTGATTCAGTGGGTCTGGGCTGGGGCTTGAAAGTCTGCATCTCTAACAGACTCCCAGGGGTTACTGTGGCTCTGAAGCCACACTGTCACATGACCCAAGCCAGTTACTAGCTATGTGACATTGGACAAGGGCCTCAGTGTCTCTGGTCCAGTCTTCTCATCTGTAAAAACAGGGATATGAGGCTGGGCACAGTGGCTCTCGTCTATAATCCCAGCACTTTGGGGAGGCTGAGGCAGGCAGTTCACTTGAGGTCAGGAGTTCGAGATCACCCTGGCCAACATGGTGAAATGCTCTCTCTACTAAAAATACAAAAATTAGCCAGGTGTGGTGGCACACGCCTGTAATGCAGTTACTCGGGAGGCTGAGGCAGGAGAAAAAAAAAAAAAAAAGATGGATAATACTCATTTTATGAGTAAGGACACTAAAGGAAAAAAAAATAAAAAGAATACTCATTTTATAAAAACAAGTAAGATTAAGAAAATTCAGTATGATGAAGATACTGTTTTATATATAAAGTGCTTAAGCATTGCCTGGCAGGCTGCCTCTCAGATGTGTGCATACAGATATATCTCATATACATTACACACATCCTGTTGCTCAGAGGACAGCCAGTCTCCTTGAATTAAACCAAGTTCCCACCACAGGTTTTTCTGCAGAGGTAGAAGGCAGAGAGAGAGATGTAGGTGAAGGAATCAGGACTTAAAGGTATGTAAGTGGTGATGAAAGAAAATTAAAATGAGCAACACTCAGCTCCCTGTCTTGTCTGCCCCTCACTAAGGGACCAAGAATTCTTATTGGTACCCAAATCTAACTGTGGATCTCTTCCAGCACTTTCTGTGGGTTAGGCAGGGCCCCAGGCCCTGGGAACGCAGAATTAAATTTGGTTCCTGCAGCTCAGGAGCCAAGAGTAGTACGGAGCATAAGTCTGGAGAGAAGGTGCTTGCAGGCAGGGGCTGAGGTACCAGCAGGAAGGGGTCTCCTGTGCTTCACTAAGTACAGCATGGCATGGAAGCCTGGACAGAGACTGTGCAGTTCTGGGTTCCAGTCACCCATTAGCCACTTAGTGGTGACGTATCTGGGGCAGAGCAGAGATGTGTGGACTTTCACTAATTCAGCCGTAAAATCTTTCTGACAGTCATAAAGGTTAAATGGCCATGCATATGAAAGTGCTGGGGGAAAGGTTGTCGGCTTCAATCCACGGGGCTCCTCCCTAATCAAAGGTACCAAGCTTCATATCTTTCTGGGTTTGACAGCAGGTTGGCTGTCTATTGGAACTATGAGAAAATACTTGCTTATGATCCCTGGAGGCTGCCCAGCTTTTGGAGATCAAGGATGGGCACCCTGAGGGAGAACAGGTACCCCAAGAAGTTGCTTTTCTTTGTGGGAGGGAGAGATGGGAGTAGCAAGTGGTAGTCTGAGAGAGGGGGTGTCTGTTCGGCAGACAGGTGGGGTGCTCTTCCTCGGAGAGAGGCCTTGAGAGTCAAGGGAGAATGGAGGTTGCCTCAGCTGCCCCAAGGCAGGATGCCTGTGGTCCCCTCATCTCCATGAGCCTGCAATGTCCCCCCTACACAGACCCTAGCCTGGGGGCAGGGAGCAGAGGGGTGGGCTTAACCCTCTCTTGCCCCATTTTCTTTTCTTTCTTTTTTTCGAGACAGAGTCTAGCTCTGTTGGCCAGGCTAGAATGCAGTTGTGCGATCTCAGCTCACTGCAACCTCCACCTCCTGGATACAAGCGATTCTCCTGCCTCAGTCTCCTGAGTAGCTGGGATTACAGGTGTGTGCCACCACGCCTGGCTAATTTTTTTTTTTTTTTTCCCCGAGATAGAGTTTCGCTCTCGTTACCCAGGCTGGAGTGCAATGGCGCGATCTCGGCTCACTGCAACCTCCGCCTCCTGGGTTCAGGCAATTCTCCTGCCTCAGCCTCCTGAGTAGCTGGGATTACAGGCACGTGTCACCATGCCCAGCTAATTTTTTGTATTTTTCGTAGAGACTGGGTTTCACCGTGTTGACCAGGATGGTCTCGATATCTTGACCTCGTGATCCACCTGCCTCGGCCTCCCAAAGTGCTGGGATTACAGGTGTGAGCCACCGCGCCCGGCCTAGCCCGGCTAATTTTTTTTGTTTTTGTTTTGTTTTGTTTTGTTTTTTTGAGAAAGAGTCTTGCTCTGTCACCAGGCTGGAGTGCAGTGGCGCAATATTAGCTCACTGCAACCTCTGCCTCCTGGGTACAAGTGATTCTTCTGCCTCAGCCTCCCAAGGAGCTGGGACCACAGACATGTGCCACCACGCCTGGCTAATTTTGTTTGTATTTTTAGTAGAGACAGGGTTTCACCGTGTTGGTCAGGATAGTCTTGATCTTTTGACCTCATGATCCTCCCACCTCGGCCTTCCAAAGTGCTGGGATTACAGGCGTGAGCCACGGCGCCTGGCCTAATTTTTTGTATTTCTAGTAGAGATGGGGTTTTACCAGGTTGGCCAAGCTGGTCTCAAACCCCTGACCTCTGGTGGTCCACCCGCCTCAGTCTCCCAAAGTGTTGGGATTACGGGCATGAGCCACCATGCTCTGACTTTTCTGACCCCATTTTCCAAACATTAAACTTGACCCTTGACAGAGGTCTCTGGCACAGATGAAGCCCCTGCTTTTCTCTCTTCCTGAGCCCTCCGCTTTCTGGGTGAAGCTTCAGTCCCTTACAAAGGGATCCCCTTGGAAGGGGTTGGCCGGGGCCTTTGGGAAGCCCAGGCCTGCCCTGTTTTGGATATCTCCTTCTCAGGCCATGCACCCAATCTAAGGTAGGGAGGCCAGCAAATGCCTGCCCTTACTGGGACAGGGTTAGATGTGTGACTTAATAAGGTTGAGAGCCACAAGTAATCCCCTAAGCACTGTGCCGTGTAACCTAAGATTATCCAGCCTGCAAACACCTGTTTTCACTCCTTCGCTGTTAGCAGTATTAAAAGCATGCTGGTTAATGACTGTAGGAACTGACATGAGGTGGGATGCACAAGCATTTGTCCCATCTTGGCAGCATCCCCAAGGTTGAGCCTGGCTGCATATGCCCATGAGCAAGGTTGAGGAAGGACTGGGGCTCACCCAAGTTTCCCTTCATATACAGTCATCAGGACCAAGCCAGGAAGCCTGAAGGTCAGGGCCAGGGTCACAGGGGTTCTCGGGTTAGCACAGCTGATCACTTCCTTAGTGATAGACAGCGGGTTGGTCCTTTAACTTACTGATCCACAGTTTCCACATCTTGGGAGGGAGGCAGAATAACACCTGCTTGCTACGCACGAGGTGGTCCTGAAGACCCAGGTTGGTAGTAATAATACTGCACACCAGGCCAACACCACATCCCAGAAGACGGGAACTAGGTTGATGTAGACTCTTAAGAAAAAAAGCCAGTGCCAACCCTGTGAAACTGACCAATCATGTTCTAATCATTTAGAACTGCAAGTCTCCACATCGGGTGGCACAGAAGATGTTGGCAATTTGTTGGAGAATCATTTCTCTGCCGGAGATGCAAGTCTAGAGGAGAAAGAAAGGGGTCTGTATGCAGACACAGCTCCTCAAGATAAGAATCTGCTCCACTACCCAGATGGCAGGGAGTCCGAGAGCCCCAAGAAGACCCCTGCATCTGCTGCCGGCCCGGGCTCTGATCCTGAAGCCAGCCTCTCCAATGCCTCAGCCACAGAGTCACCTCTACCCCGGGAAAGGGACAACAGGGATGCTGCAGGGCCTGGGGACGAAAAGAACGGCCCACCAGCAGCAAGTGCCCTCCCTCCAGGAGGGCCCGAGGGGCCTGTGGAAGAGGAGCGGCCGGAGCCCAGTTCTGGAGAGGGGCTAGGAGAGGAGCCTGGGCTTGGGCTCCTCATGGAGGGAGCTGCCGGTGGAGAGGCAGGAGGACAGGCTGGGGCCTGTGAACTCCCTGATGCAGCCCAGGAGGTCCCAGGGGATGGCCCTGTGCAGGGTGCAGTGGCAGGGATAGCAGAGCCGGAGGCGGAGGGAGCCTCTCCTTGCTCAGAGGGTGATGGGGTCCACTCACTGAACACAGAGGCCGAAGTTAGCCCTGGGCCTGGCCAGAAGCCTGCAGTGCCAGAGGGAGCCCCTGATGTTGCGACTGTTGGGGGAGAGTCTGAGTTGGATATTGACACACAAGCCAGGAAGGGCCCCGAGGACCAGGGGGAGCCCAACCCAGCTGCAGGAGCCAATGCGGAGTCTGGGGGCACCCAGAGCGCCGAGGCAGAGGACACTGAGAAGCAGGTCCCAGTGATGACCGAGGAGGACGCAGATGAGGCCTCCTCTGAAGAGGAAAGTGGTGATGGAGGTGGAAGCGAGGAAGAAGGAGGCGTTCCCTCCGAAGAGGAGTCCGAAGAGGACAGCGGTGGTGGAGCTAGCTCAGAAGAAGCAGAGCATACCTCCAAGGAGGCCGGGGAGCCCCAGGAAGCAGAGGAGCCCCAGAAGGCCAGGGAGCCTCAGGAGGCCAGGGTGCCCCAGGAAGCCCAGGAGTCCCGGGAAGCCGGGGAGCCCCAGGAAGCCGCAGGAACTTCAAGCCAGAGGGACAGAGGGGCCCAGCCTGGCTCGGAGGAATTGAATACAGAGCCTGCAGGCAGCGAGATTCCGGACTTGAAGGCAGAGGAGCCTGAGGAGGGACATCAGGGGAGGGGGAATCCCATCATTGCTGCCCAGGGTAGGAATTACTTCCCTAAGAGCAACCCCGTCCCTTGGGCAGCTGCATTCTCCCAGCAAGTCTTGTGTGTAGGAGACAGGCAGGGACAGGAAAAAGTGGCAGAGGGTAGCAGTCCCTTTCCAGAGTCCTGGTCTAGGGAGGTGCCTTCAGGCTATGCATTGGCCACTGGCTTCCAGTCTGGAGGGGCCGGAGGGGCCCCGGTACTTCTGAGTCAGATTCCCCAGAACCTCCCCTTAGGGTCCCTGATGTGCTGTAGCACATGCCAGTGCCTCAGCCTAAAGGAGCTAGTGGCGTGATCGGTGCCCTGTGGCTGGCAGGTGGAGGGAAGTGCAAGGAATGGATGGGGGTGGGTTGGGAACTGCCCTGGTGATTCCTTGGGAGGCTAGTCTCCCTTGAAGACTAGGCTGTAGGAAGTGTTGCAGAACCAGGACGGAGGGGCTCAGGATCCTGGGATGAGAACTCAGTCCGTGACTGCTATTGTCTCTCAAATGCCCACCTAAAGCAGCATCCTCCTGCCTTTGTCTCCCATAGTGCTGGGATTACAGGCGTGAGCTGCCACACCCAGTCAATTTATATATCTACATACTACTTATATGCTATCTATCAGGACTGGTATTCTCCATAAGGGTGGGTATGTGCTGCAGTCAGCCAGCTCCCTATTCTGGGTCTGGGGCTGGGGCTACCTGGGACTGGTTTAAAGAGTCATTATCATGAGGTGCTGCATGAGGCATATTGACTCTTCTTTGCATCTCCCCTCGTGGAGCTGGCCTCCTTCTGCCCCATAGGCCTGAGTCCACCCCTCTTGTAATCGCCTAAAATCCTCCATGCAGGCAGCCTGGGAAGAAGCAGCTGTGATATCCTAGCTCCCTATACCTGGGAGCCTGTGACAGGCACCCCACATCTACCTACCCCCAAAGCCTCCTGAGATGTTTGATGTTTTAATTTTTTGAGACAGGGTCTCACTCTGTGACCCAGGCTGGAGTGCAGTGAGGTGATCATGGCTCACTGCAGCTTGGCATCCTGAGCTCAGAGGATCCTCCTGTCTCAGCTTCCTGAGCTGAGACTATGGGTGTGTGCCACTGCCTGGCTAACTTAAACTGTGTTTTTATAAAGATGGGGTCTTGCTATCTTGCCTAGGCTGATCTCAAACTTCTGGGCTCAAGTAATCCACCCATTTCGGCCTCCTAAAGTGTTAGGATTACAGGTGTGAGCCACCCCAGCGTTGCTTTGAAGACGATTATCTCTGACTCCACTGGACTAAGCAACTGCCTAAGGGCAGGAGCTGTGCCTGTGGTGGGCACCACTGTATTCCCAGCATGACACTCAGTGCCTGGTGTGGCAAAGGTGTTCAGTGCCTATTGGTTGAATATATGAAATGAATAGATAAGGTTTCTGCAGGTTGAGATGTGGACCCTCTCCCCAAATGTGAATACATTGCCCATGGAGCTTCATAGGGTGGATTATCAAATTCCTTCCTAAAGGCAGAGCTCAGTCCAGTGTAACTTGGCAAGACCCCGCTGAGCTCTTGCTTGGGGCCCAGCCCTTGTCCACAGTGCCGGCGCTCAGAGCTCAGCTGGCTATTAGCTTTGCCCTCACTTGGCTGTCTTGTTTCTCTCTGCAGAAGAGGCGGAGGATGCGAATGAAGAAGCCCCATTGAGGGACCGCTCCCACATCGAGAAGACCCTCATGCTGAATGAGGACAAGCCATCTGACGACTACTCTGGTAACCAGGGGAGGGAGACACGTCCAGGCTACCAGGGGCCAGGCAGACCCCTGGAGGCTTTGGAGAGCCAGGGCGTGCCAGGGCTTTATCCCGGAGGCCAGACGGGACCTTGGGGAAGAGGAGAGCCCTGAAGGTGGGAGCCTTCTTCAGGAGGCTCTGTGAGCAGGGTCCACGGCTGGAGGCTCCAGGTGGGCAGAGACGAGGAAGGGCTGTCCAAGCAGCGGGCCAGTGTGGGTGAATCCAGTGTGGCCCCCTGCTGTGCAGGGGAGGATACTTAACACAGACCCATCTCCTTCTTCTGTGACAGCTTATAAAGCTGTTGCATGTGGTATATCATTTTATCTTTGAAACCTAAGGATTGCAGCAGGGTTTTTCTTCTCTTAATCAATGAGCCACGTAACTGGAGCTCAGGCTAGCAGCAATTTGCTCCTGACACACAGCTCGAGGGTGGTGGATTGAGGGGTAGAGTCTCGCTAGCCTGACTCGCCACCCCACAGGCATTCCTATTGGTTCCTCCTCTTCCTCCCAGAAAGAGGCCATTTGGGTTATGTGACCCTTTTCAGGAGTGTCTGGGAGGTCAGTGACAGGCCAGGGCCAGGGTGCCGTTCTGCAGGCCTACTCGGTGCTGGGCCTCCTTGCCTTCTATGCCTCGGAATACACACAGAGGTGGGCCGCAAAGATGGAATTCTCATCCACCAAAGAAAGGGCTCGTAGTAGGCTGCAGGGCAAGGCAGGGTTTCAGACACACTATGCAGGTGAGGAAGGAGGAGAGAGGTTTTAAAAAAACAGGTCACTGTCCAGCGTGGTGGTTCACGCCTGTATTCCCAGCACTTTGGGAGGCCGAGGTAGGCAGATCATGAGGTCAGGAGTTCGAGACCAGCCTGACCAACATGGTGAAACCCTGTCTCTACTAAAAATACAAAAATTAGCTGGGAGTGGTGGCGCATACCTATAATCCCAGCTACTCAGGAGGCTGAGGCAGGAGAATTGCTTGAACTTGGGAGGTAGAGGTAGCAGTGAGCTGAGGTCGTGCCACCGAACTCCAGCCTGGACAACAGAGTGAAACTCCAACTCAAAAAAAAAAAAAAAAAAAAAAAATGCCTAGCTGCAGTATCTTATGCCTGTAATCCCAACACTTTGGGAGGCTGAGGTGGGAGGGTTGCTTGAGCCCAGGAGTTAGAGGCTGCAGTGAGCTATGATTACACCACTGCACTCCACCCTGGGTGACAGAGTGAGATCCTGTCTCTAAAAAAATAAAATAACCAAACAGCTCAGGAGGCTTTGGGGGTGAGTAGGAGAATGCCTTTTGGTTTGAAGGTTTCTGTGGGTTGAGATGTGGGCCAGCTCCCCAACTGCAAATACATTGCATGGTTGCCAGGCTGCAGATGGCGCCTGCTCCCCACCAAGCAGGGCTGGAGCTGCCCTGGATGGTGAGACCCCTCCACAGTGGAGAGGCTGCCTGGATCTTACCTGCCTGATGTTCTTCCCTCCGCCCTCTCTGTCTCAGCGGTGCTGCAGAGGCTTCGGAAGATCTACCACTCATCCATCAAGCCCCTGGAGCAGTCCTACAAGTACAATGAGCTCCGGCAGCATGAGATCACAGGTAGGGCACGAGATCACGGGTAGGGCGCAAGACCACGGGTAGGGCGCGAGATCACGGGTAGGGCGCGAGATCACGGGTAGGGCATGAGATCACAAGTACAGCATGAGAGCACGTGTACGGTGCAGGCCTGTCAGTGGGTCTGGACCACTCACCAGACTGGACTCCCCTGGTGCCCACACAGGTTCAGGAGCTCGTTTGTGATGTGTTCGAGGACCTGTGGTTCTGGGTCTGGGCTCCCCCCGGGAGTTGGAAAGGATGACACTTCTGTCACAGGAACTACCCTTTCACCAGCAGGGTGCAATGCTTTACCAGATAGCATTTTGGTTTTAAGCCTTTATATTTCAGTCGTGTATATTTGAGTCTTCAAGGGTGATAATGCTGATTTGGATCCCTCTGGAGCACCTGTGCTCCAGAGCCCACAGGTGCCCCCCATCTACTCACCGGTGGTGCCTGAGCCCTCTGATCGCCCATTCCTTCCACTCCTCCTATTGCCCTTCTCCATCTGCTTCCCTTGGGCCTCGATTCTTTGCAATATTGGTTTTCAAAATAATAAAAATAAGACACACTTGTTGCAAAACATGCAAATAGTGCAGAATAGCATGCATCAAAAAATACAAATTCCATTCTTGATCTCCACCTTATTTAATTCGATTCCCAGAGAAAACCTCCGTTTTAGTTTCTTGTGAAGACTTCCAGGCCTTTCCTCTGCATGTGTGAGTGCATAGAAGGATGTCCTTTTTGATTGTATGAACATGGGATCCTGTTATGCGGGCTGTGTGTGTGGAGACCTCCCTCCTTCCCTCTGATGGCTGTGTGCTTTTCTCCTGCATGGTCACGCCATGCTCTGGAAAACCAGCACCCTCCTGCATGGTCACGCCATGCTCTGGAAAACCAGCACCCTCCTGGTGGTCACGCCATGCTCTGGAAAACCAGCACCCTCCTGGTGGTCACGCCATGCTCTGGAAAACCAGCACCCTCCTGGTGGCTCATGCCTGTAATCCTGGCACTTTGGAAGCCTGAGGCAGGAGGATGGTTGAGCCCAGGAGTTTGAGATCAGCCTGGGCCACATAGTAGGACACTGTCTCTACAAAAAATACAGAAATTAGGGCCAGGCGCAGTGGCTCAGGCCTATAATCCTGGTACTTTGGAGCCTGAGGCGGGTGGATCAAGAGGTTAGGAGTTCGAGACCAGCCTGGCCAACATGATGAAACCCCATCTCTACTAAAAATACAAAAATTAGCTAGGTGTGGTGGTGTGTGCCTGTAATCCCAGCTACTCAGGAAGCTGAGGCAGGAGAATCACTTGAACCTGGGAGTCAGAGGTTGCAGTGAGCTGAGATCACACCACTGCACTCCAGCTTGGGCAACAGAGCAAGACTCAATCTCAAAAAACAAACAAAAACCAAAAATTTGGCTGGGCATGGTGGCTCATGTCTGTAATTTATATAATGCATATGCCAATTTATATGCTGCATATGCCAATATCTGTATCCATCATCTATATAAAAACCCTCCAATTACAATGTAATGCCACAGGATTAATTTTAGCTTTTCCTTTTCCATATTTGTAACTTTCTGGGAACAGTAATAACCCTGACTCCCATTATCTATAATGCATTTGCTTATTTGAGCAATACTAGAATACATAGTTTCAGAGTCCTCCATCCATAGCACTTTTTTTTTTTTTTTTTTTTTTTGAGACAGAGTTTCACTCTTGTTACCCAGGCTGGAGTGCAATGGCGCAATCTCGGCTCACTGCAACCTCCGCCTCCTGGGTTCAGGCAATTCTCCTGCCTCAGCCTCCTGAGTAGCTGGGATTACAGGCACGTGCCACCATGCCCAGCTAATTTTTTGTATTTTTAGTAGAGACGGGGTTTCACCATGTTGACCAAGATGGTCTCGATCTCTTGACCTCGTGATCCACCCGCCTCGGCCTCCCAAAGTGCTGGGATTACAGGCTTGAGCCACCGCGCCCGGCCATCCATAGCACTTTTAAAAACAATCCTATGACTGGGCACGGTGGCTCACACCTGTAGTCTCAGCACTTTGAGAGGCTGAGGCAGGCAGATCACTTGAGGAGTTTGAGACCAGCCTGGCCAACATGGTGAAACCCCATCTCTGCTAAAAATACAAAAATTAGCTGGGCATGGTGGTAGATGGCTATGATCCCAGCTATAGGCTGGGAGGCTGAGGCACAAGAATTGCTTGAACTAGGGAGGTAGAGGTTGCAGTGAGCTCTAGCCTGGATTACAGAGTGAGACCCCATCTCAGAAAAAATACCTGGGTGTGGTGGCATGCGCTTGTGGTCCCAGCTACTCAGCAGGCTGAGGCAGGAGGATCATTTGAGCCCGGAAGGCAGAGATTGCAGTAAACAGATTGCACCAGTGCACTCCAAACAAATATAATAAATAAATAAATAAATTGGAACACTGGAATTACACATTTTGCTAGTTGTTGCTAAATTGCCTTCCGTGATACCAGTTTGTACTCACAGTAACAGTAGATGAGAGTCCTTGTTTCCCAACAGCAATGCCATTTAAAAATGCTACTCATCTTTAAAAAATGTAGCAATGGTGTCTTATTGTTTTGTGAATGATATTACAGATGTTTCCCTGTGTTAATCTGGCTGTTTCTGTATGATCTCATTTGATGCTCTGGATGGCTGTCAATGGCCAGGGTATCATAGGGTCTGTATTCTTCCTGCTCTACAGAGGAGAACCTCAGGCCCAGAGACGTGCTGGGTTGCCCAGGATTGCACAGCTGGAAGCAGGGAATACTCCGTTCCACAGCTACCTGTATAGTTTTTTGTAGCCTAGGAGCCAGTTATCCCCTCCGTCTTTGCAGCGGATACATGGAGATTGGTGTGAGGTTACAGAGAAAGACCAGTGGTTTTTTCTTTCTCACTGGGCCCTAAGACCCAGAAGCTTGGAAACTTGTGTGGATAGCAGCAGGGGCCAGGAGCTCCCACATCCCCAGGGCATGGTGCTCTGCAGGGAGGGCCCGTTTCCTGGCCCCTGTGCTCACCTTCTGGGCTTGACTCTTAAATCCTAGTCTCTGGCCAGCTTCCTTGTAACCTGTCCCAGGCTCCCCTCCCACCTCCTGCATAGGCCAGCGGTGCCCCCTGCTGTGAGGAGCCGAAACCGCAGCGCCGCAATGGGCCCTGTTTGTGGCTTGTTTCTATGAGTGGGGAACATCCAGGGCTCTCCTTGGCATCACCTGGGCCAGTGTTTAGAAACTGTGACGTCTCTGTGGTTGTAACTGTGGATTCCTGTCACCTCTCAGCCTCCCTATCCCTTCCTGGCCCCCAGCCATGGCCTGACATCCACAGAGATGTGTCTTCTGTGTATTCACAGGCAGGGACAGATAGAGCAGGGCCATGGTATTGCTTTCAGCCATTGTACGTGTGCCTGACATTTATAAGACACCACCCGGGTAAGATGGAGCTTTAGCCTTAGAGAAGGAAGACCAGAGTATCTGAAAGCAAGATGAAGAAGAGGAAGCATACTGCATCACTCTCTGTTTAAAAAAAAAAAAAAAAAAAGATGGGGGCTGGGCTCGGTGGCTCACACCTGTAATCCCAGCACTTTGGGAGGCCGAGGCGGGTGGATCAGTTGAGCCCTTTAGTTTGAGACCAGTCTGAGCAACGTAGCAAGACCCCGGCTGTACAAAAAAATTTAAAATTTAGCTGGGCATCATGGTGTAGTCCTAGCTACTGCTTGGGAGGCGGGAGGCAGAAGTGGGAGGATTGCTTGAGCCCGGTAATTGTAGTGGGGCATAACTGCACCACTGCATTTCAGCCTGGGCGACAGAGACCCTGATTCTAAACAAAAGAGGAGAGAGAGAGAGAGAGAGAGAGAAAGAGAGAGAGAGAGAGAGAGACTGGCTCTAGAGCCCAGGATTAGGCTGTATTGGGAGTCTTGGGAGCCCCAGGTAGGAGGAGAGGAGAGCTGCAAAGGCTGGAGACAGGCAGGGTCTGAGTCTGCCACCCAAGGTTATACAGGCTGGCCCATGGCCATCCTCCTCTGTCAACCAGATTCTCTCCCTGTGGAAACTCTGTCCTCCTTTTTCTATGAGTTTTTCTCCTCCAGATTTAACCAGGAGATCTCACCTAGAGTGAGCTCTGAGTCATGATTTGTTGAATTCACTGAGATCCTTCTTCTGGTGTGGGCTGATGTGCCAAGGATCTGGGCAAGGCCCAGACAGTGACTTCTGTGTCTTTTTACTGGGTGATCGCACTTACGTAGTAAGAGAAGTGTCACTGGGGGCTACACACGTCTGATCCACAGAGAATCCCACAACTCAGTTGGCTGGACAGCCAGAGGCTTTGGAGTACGGTGCCGTACCCCTCGTGTGAAATTTTGTTGGTTTCATTCCATTTCTAATTCCTGTTGCCCACAGATGGAGAGATTACCTCCAAGCCGATGGTGCTGTTCCTGGGACCGTGGAGTGTTGGTAAATCTACCATGATAAACTACCTCCTTGGGCTGGAAAACACTCGCTATCAGCTCTATACAGGTAATCTTAGTTTTCTTGTGTGCTTGTTGGGATTTGAATGTCATATGTAAAAGCACCATGAAAAGTTAAATCACTGGTCAGGCACGATGGCTCATGCCTATCATCCCAGAACTTTGGGAAACCAAGGCAGGTGAATCACTTGAGACCATCAGTTTAAGACCAGCCTGGCCAACGTGGCAAAAACCCGACTCTACTAAAAAATTACAAAAATTAGTGGGATGTGGTGACAGGTGCCTGTAATCCCAGCCACTCGGGAGGCTGAGACATGACAACTGCTTGAACCTGGGAGGCAGAGATTACAGTGAGCTGAGACCATGCCACTGCACTCCAGCCTGGGTGACAGAGCAAGACTCCGTCTCAAAAAAAAAAAGGAAAAGAAAAGTAAGGCCGGGCACGGTGGCTCACGCCTGTAATCCCAGCACTTTGGGAGGCCAAGGCGGGCAGATCATTAGGTGAAGAGTTCAAGAGCAGCCTGGCCAACATGGTAAAACCCCGTATCTACTAAAAATACAAAAAATTAGCCCGGCATAGTAGTGTGTACCTGTAACTCCAGCTACTTGGGAGGCTGAGGTAGGAGAATCGCATGAACCCAGGAGGCAGAAGTTGTGGTGAGCAGAGATCATGCCATGGCACTCGGGCCTGGGCAACAAAGCATGACTCAGTCTCAAAAAATAAAAAATAAATAAATAAGAGCAGTTATGCCACATGCAGGAGTTAAAATAGAAAATCTGAAAAAGGCCAGGAGCAGTGGATCATTCCTGTAATCCCAGCACTTTGGGAAGCTGAGGCGGGAGGATCACTTGAGGTCAGGAGTTCGAGACCAGCCTGGGCAACATGGTGAAACCCTGTCTCTACTAAAAATACAAAAAATTGGCTGAGCGCAGTGGCTCACACCTATAATCCCAGCACTTTGGGAGGCCGAGGTGGGTGGATCACGTGAGGTCAGGAGTTTGAGACCAGTCTGAAGAGAAACCCCATATCTGCTACCTAGTTGAACCATGAAGATGTTACACTAAAGGAAAGAAGACAGACAAGAGGACAAATACTGTCTGATTTCAATTCTATAAAAGTAGGCAACATCAGAGAGACACCAGAGTGGTTGTAACCAGGGGCTGGGGGAAGAGTGAGTGGGGAGTTACTGTTCAATGGATACAGAGTTTTCATTTTGGGAAGGTAAAAATGTTCTGGAGATGGATAGTGGTGATGGTTGCATAACAGTGTGAATGTACTTAATGCTATGAACTGTATGCTTTCAAATGATTAAAATGGCAAATTTAGGCTGGGCGCAGTGGCTCATGCCTATAATCCCAACACTTTGGGAGGCCAAGGTGGGCAGATCATTTGAGGTCAGAAGTTTGAGGCCAGCCCGGCCAACACAGTGAAACCCTGTGTCTAACTAAAAATACAAAAATTAGCTGGGTGTGGTGGCACATGCCTGTAATTCCAGCTACTTGGGAGGCTGAGGCAGGAGAATTGCTTGAACCTGGGAGATGGAGGCTGCAGTGAGCTGAGATTGCGCCACTGCACTCCAGCCTGGGTGACAGAACAAGACTCCATCTCAAGAAAAAAAAAAAAAAAAAGTAAATTTTGTGTTACATATATTTTACCACAATTAAAAGAAAGCCCCAATAGCTTAGTAAAGGTATCCTATTCTTGTGGCAAAAGTCTCCGTGTGATACCCAGCATACACACATGCTTCTCAGTAGGTCTGTTTCACAGAGATCCCATATTCCCTGTCCTCTCACCCCGCATGCCCAGGCGCTGAACCCACCACCTCTGAGTTCACGGTCCTAATGCATGGGCCCAAGTTGAAAACCATCGAGGGCATCGTCATGGCTGCTGACAGTGCCCGCTCCTTCTCACCCCTGGAGAAGTTTGGCCAGAATTTCCTGGAGAAGCTGATTGGTATTGAGGTTCCCCACAAACTTTTGGAGAGGGTCACTTTTGTGGATACACCAGGCATCATCGAGAACCGCAAGCAGCAAGAAAGAGGTAATTTAGCCCTCATTTCTGAACAGGGTGAGCTCTGTTTCAAAAAATTATTTTTGGCTGGGTATGATGGCTCATGCCTGTGATCCCAACTCTTTGGGAGGCCAAGAAAGGAGGATCTCTTGAGGCCAGGGGTTTGAGACCAGTCCGAGCAACATAGTGAGATCCCATCTCTAAAAAACAAAATTAAAAAATTAGCCAGGCATGGTGACATGTGCCTGTGGTCCTAGCTACCTGGGAGGCTGAGGTGGGAGGATTGCTTGAGCCCAGGAGGTTGAGGCTGCAGTGAGCCGTAATCGTGCCCCTGCACTCCAGCCTGGGCAAGAGTGAGACCCTATCTCATATAAAAAAATAAGTAAGTAAGGTTAGGCACAGTGGCTCACGCCTGTAATCTTAACATTCTGGGAGGCTAAGGCAGGTGGATGGATCACTTGAGCCCAGGTGTTCGAGACCAGCTTGGACAAAATGGCAAAATCCCACCTCTACAAAAAATACAAAAATTAGGTGGGCATGGTGGCACATGCCTATAATCCCAGCTACTCAGGAGACTGAGTTGGGAGGATTGCTTGAGCCCAGGAGGTCAAGGCTGCAGAGACAGTGAGCCATGGCCACGCTACTACACTCCAGTGTTGATGACACGGCAAGACTCTATCTCAAAAAAAATAAATAAAAAGAAGAAAGAAAAGAAAACTCCTTTTGACAGTGGGTGGTAGGCAGGCAGGGGAGAGGAAATGTGGCCTGCATTGCCCAAGGCCAGAAGAGGCATTCTTCACCTTCTTGTCATGCCCGCGATGCCATTTGGGTTTTGGAGTGCCTAGTCCTCCTACCTCCCCAAGGACTGATTTGGTTTGGAGACGGCCAGTATTTTCCAAAGTCAGGGACGAATCTTCTCTGCAAAAAGCTCTGAGAGGTTCAGCTGGGGCTCAGTTGTCTTTGGGAGGTCCTGTCTGTCCTGTGTAGCCAAGGACCTGGACTAACCGGATCCCAGTACCAGTATGTTTGACTTCTGGCTAAATTGGATCTGGGGCTCCTGGGCCTGCTCAAGGTTGAACCCCTGACCTTGATTTCTTCCTATTCCTGGTTTCTGCTTTTCCAGGCTTGCTTCCCCATGAGCCTTTAGCAGGCTTCTTCAAAGCCCTACTTGCCCTCAGGTAGCAGGGGAGTGCCACTTAGGGCCTGTCTGACTTCACTTACATGAGAGTAGGCCAAATCAGAGAGACAAAAACCAGAGTGGTTGTAACCAGAGGTTTTGGGGAAGGGGAGATGGGGAGTTTAATGGGTACAGAGGTTTCAGTTTGGGAAGATGAAAATGTTCTAAAGAGGGATGGCGGTGATGGTTATACAACAATGTGAAAGGATTTAATGAACAAAGCTGATAACCAGGCCACAAGACTAGAAGCCAGAGGCTCGCCAGGTGTGTGGCTGTGGAATAGGCCACTGAGTCCTGCCATGAGGCAAGGCTGTCTGCAGCGAGTCCTGAACAGGGCAGTTGTGGGAAGACAGACAGTGGATCTCAGTTCATGGTTACAACTCCAATTCTGGTTATAAATAGATCCTGCATTAATGATATTAGCAGTAATTTTAGCAGTACTTAATAGTATTAGTATTATTAATAATAATGTGAATTATAATAAATTGTATGCTTACTACACATTGGATAATTTTATACATTATTATTAAAAAAAGATTTCAATGTGTTTTAGACAGGGGGTCCTTGCCTCCTCAGTTTTCTTATTTGCAAAGAAAACTAGGAAATAAGAAGCTAAAGGAATTAAAAGGTACTGGGCACCAGCCGTATGACTGGAATTTTAGGTGCTTTCCTGTTACAGTAATATGGTAATCTTTATGTTAACTCAGATGTTGATAATGTTTTTCTTGTCATTTTGGAACTAAAAGGGTAGAGCTTAGAGGCATTTAATATGCAGCTGGCCAGGGGCAAAGCTCAATTTCTAGTCTGCGTCTTAATGCCAAGTCCACATTCCTTCCCCCTAAATCATGCATTCACTCTTTCATGTTCTTCTAATTCCCTATTTCTTTCTTTCAGTATCTTTGCCATTGCCCCAGATCCTTTTAAACAGTAGGACAATTTCCATTTTGAACAAGTATTTCGCTTTCTTAGAGACTTGGATTTCACAGTAGATGAAAACAACCATCAGGCAGGGTGTGGTGGCTCATGCCTATAATCCCAGCACTTTGGGAGGCTGAGGTGGGAGAGTTCTTAAACCCAGGAGTCTGAGGCTGTAGTGAGCTATAATCATGCCACTGCACTCCAACCTGGGTGACAGAGTGAGACCCTGCCTCAAAAAACAAACCAACAAGAAAAACAAGGATTAGGCTGTTCTTGGTTGAAGGTTGGCAAGGGCAGGAGATATGCAACTGATTTTTTTTTTTTTTTTTTTTTTTGAGACGGAGTTTCACTCTTGTTACCCAGGCTGGAGTGCAATGGCGCGATCTCGGCTCACTGCAACCTCCGCCTCCTGAGTTCAGGCAATTCTCCTGCCTCAGCCTCCTGAGTAGCTGGGATTATAGGCACGTGCCACCATGCCCAGCTAATTTTTTGTATTTTTAGTAGAGACGGGGTTTCACCGTGTTGACCGAGATGGTCTCGATCTCTTGACCTCGTGATCCACCCGCCTCGGCCTCCCAAAGTGCTGGGATTACAGGCTTGAGCCACCGCGCCTGGCCGCAACTGATTTTTTAATAGTACTTAGAAACCCAGAAAACCTAGTGCTGTTCCTTCTTTGAACCCCCAGAAAAGTTTAGTTTTGAAAGAAGGCGTGTGGGCTTTGAGGGAGGCCTACTCAGTTTGACTTCTCATTCCTGTCTCCAAAGGCTACCCCTTCAACGACGTGTGCCAGTGGTTCATCGACAGAGCAGACCTTATCTTTGTTGTCTTTGACCCAACCAAGCTGGATGTGGGTCTGGAGCTGGAGATGCTCTTCCGCCAGTTGAAGGGGCGTGAATCCCAGATAAGGATCATCCTCAACAAGGCTGACAATCTGGCCACCCAAATGCTCATGCGGGTTTATGGGGCCCTCTTCTGGAGCTTGGCCCCTCTTATCAACGTCACAGAGCCCCCAAGGGTTTACGTCAGTTCCTTCTGGCCCCAAGCATATAAGCCAGACACCCACCGTGAACTATTCCTCCAAGAAGAGATCTCCCTCCTGGAAGACCTGAATCAGGTGATCGAGAACAGATTGGAGAATAAGATTGCCTTCATCCGCCAGCACGCCATCCGTGTCCGCATCCACGCCCTCCTGGTTGACCGCTACCTGCAGACTTACAGGGACAAAATGACCTTCTTCAGTGACGGAGAACTGGTCTTTAAGGACATTGTGGAAGATCCCGATAAATTCTACATCTTCAAGACCATCCTGGCAAAGACCAATGTCAGCAAATTTGACCTTCCCAACCGCGAAGCCTACAAGGACTTCTTCGGCATCAATCCCATTTCCAGTTTCAAACTGCTCTCTCAGCAGTGCTCCTACATGGGAGGTTGCTTTCTGGAGAAGATTGAGCGGGCCATCACTCAGGAGCTTCCGGGCCTCCTGGGTAGCCTCGGGCTCGGGAAGAATCCAGGTGCTCTCAACTGTGACAAAACAGGGTGTAGCGAAACCCCAAAAAATCGCTACAGGAAGCACTAGGTGGTGTAGTGGTTCTTGGGTTCCTGTTGGTGAATGAGCTTGTGTCCTAACTGTCTGAGAAGTCGAGGTTTATTAACCCTTTGAGCCACACTGGCAGGAATGATTACACAGTGGAGATCTTGGAGTTCATTGAGGCCAGGGACCGGGGCAGGTGCGTGGGTCTCAGGAGGAGAGTGGAAACTGTGAATTCTAGTGCGCTTGTCTTGTTGCTTCAATGAGGAGGCCTGATTGAGGCAAGTCAGCCTCCACCTGCTTTTCCTGGGTCTTGTCTTGGAAGGAAAGAGAGCAGCTAAATTCTAGTTTATCTGAAATCAATGAGGGTCAAATAAGCTAAAAGCAGCCGGAATTCCTTTGTCCCCTGGGAGCTGGGAAAACAGCAAAGGCCTGTGTTGTAGAGATTGTTAGGTCCGTTTTGGCTTCTTTCCACGCCCGCAGGCTTGTGTCTGTTCCCCAGCCCTCGGCTGCTTCTTAACTTTGGGTTGGCTTTCAACCGTGAATAATCTCTTGGGTTTGAATATACCTGGGTTTTTTGTTTTTTTTTTGAGATGGAGTCTCACTCTGTTGTCCAGGCTGGAGTGCACTGGTATATCTTGGTTCACTGTAACCTCCACCTTCCTGGTTCAAGTGATTCTCCTGCCTCAGCCTCCCGAGTAGCTGGGATTACAGGCATGCACCATCACGCCCAACTAATTTTTGCATTTTTAATAGAAATGGGGTTTCACCATGTTGCCCAGGCTGGCCTCGAACTCCTGACCTCAAGTGATCTACCTGCCTCGGCCTCCCAAAGTGCTGGAATTACAGGCGTGAGCTGCCGCACCCAGCCTCTACCTGGGTTTTGAGCTGATCCCCAAGACTTGCTCCTGGTTTCCTCAAGGTGGGACAGTGGTTTAGGACAGGAGACAACTAAGCACAGGAGTCCCCAGGTAAGGACGAGGATCTGCCTTCCCCAGTGCCAGTTCTCTGATGTGTTCCTCAAAGCCGGCTGGGGGAGCTTGATCCCTTTATCAGACCCAGGAGAGGGGAAGTGGTCGGTGTATCCAGGTAATTTACCTCTTGGAAGTGACTTTAGTGAAGGTCGTGGAAGGGCTCAGAGGGTTAATTGGTTTGCAGTGTGTCTTTGTCTATTGCATGTCTTGGAAAACTCAAATCCCAAAGGCATTGGGTTTCAGAGAGGACAGTGGAGACCTTGCTCCTTTTCCTTAGGCCGTCAGTCTCTCCCAATTTAAGAAGAGGCAGTGTCCACAACTCCTCTGTGGAAGCACTCCGCCGCGGAGTTGCTCCTTTGCGATTTCTACACCAAGCTTTCCCTTTCCTTTCTTCTCCATTCCCTGATGCATCAGCACTTAAAACTTGCAGCAGTTTCCAAGGAGTCAGAACCAGCACGAGCCACTCTGTGTTGGCGGCAACCAAGGGTTAACATTGACCCTGATGCAGATGTCCGCTGAACACACTGCAGGAGAACCAGGGCCTTCAGTACCAATGAGTGTGACTATGTCTGTATGTTGTCTGAGAGAGACGGGGGAGATCACAGAGACTCGAGGGCTCAGAGAACTTGTTGTAAGAGTCTTACAAGGCTAGCATGCACAACTCCGCAGAAGTTGGTGGGGAGCAGAGGCACAGGGCCCGCAGGGAAGCAGCAGCCTTTGGATGGTGAAATGTGCATGATGCACAGTCTATGCATGCCCAGGAGACCCAGCCCTGGTTGCCTTGAGGGGCTCCTTTGTGCAGAGCCAGCCACTTCTCTTGGGAACAAGCTGTCCTGGGGGCCTTACCTGCAAGGCAGGAGTCAGGATGCACCAGCACCAGGAAGTCATCCTGGACCAGAAGGAGGGTGGAAAGGCAGGCAGAGGGAGAGGCACGCTGAGGTCAGGCAGGGTAAGCCAGTTGGCAGTCAGGTTGGGTCTACATGGAGAACCTCGAGTTAGGAATTCCTGGTTCTCAGAATCGTTATCACTCTGGTACATGCTGTCACAGGGGCCATTGCATTTGGCTTTGTGGAGGGCCTGGAACCTTCCACAAGAACACCCGAGGTTCCAGAGCACCCAGGACAATGCTTTCCAAGGAACGAGTCAACCAGGAAAGAGAGTGAGTTCTGCAAGGGGCCTCCACGGAGCCTGTAATAGGGGCTGATGAGATGGAATCTCTCCTGGACTTTTCTTATTAACCACCCTCTGCAAACCCCAGAATACCTTGCCTCATCTCTGTACTATCTGCCCTCTTGGGGGATGGGCCCTCCCACCTCTCCCCTGCCTGCATCTCCATGCCCTGAGCTGCTTTGGCAGATCTGTTTTTCTGTGCAGTCAGGGGGAAAAAAAGCCACAAAAAAAAACGCACAACTGTGTGGGCATTGTCATAGCTGTTGATGTCTCCACTGCTTTGGGGGAAATGGCTGGGATGAAGCTAATACATTCATGCAATATTTATATTTTCAGAGGCTATGTTATCAGCATGCTCTCGCTGCCTTGGCCTTTTCTTTCCGTCATCTGTTTTCCTGTTTGTGTTCCTTCTCTCTTTGACTTCTCTTCCCTTTCTCACTGTCAGACTTTCTTGTCTCTGCTGCTCACAGGCCTGCCCATCAGTCAGCACAGTTATTTAGTATCTGGGTTCTGGCGAGCTCTGTGGAAGGGGCTTTGAGCAGAATTCTGACTCTCTGGGGTGGGGGTTAGGAACTGGGGGAAACGTAAGGATCCAGAGATTCCCCGAAGAGGAGTGTCTGGAAGGATCTGTGCCTGGACAGTGGCTGAACCTTTCCAGTGTTCTTTCGGTTCTGATTTCATCAGTCTCAATAAAGTTCCGACCTCTCTTTAACACCGAGTGCTTTCTCATGGTCTCCAGCCAGGTTAATCTCTTCATCCTTTTATCTCGTAGAGTGAACTCACTGTAAGTTTCTTGGGCAGAGACTGGAAATTAAGAAATTGCTCACCCTTGTGTTGGCTGAATGCCCCAGGACCTTCTTTAGGGCTGAGGCTGAGTTGCTCTCTTGGCTGGCCAGGAAGCCCAGGCCTGCCTGGTATCCCTTGAAACTTAAAGAACCGCTCTCTTGGCCCGGCGTGGAGGCTGACGCCTATAATCCCAGAACTTTGGGAGGCCGAGGCAGGTGGATCATAAGTCAGGAGATTGATAGCTTCCTGGCCAACATGGTGAAACTGAAATACAAAACAAAAAAATTAGCTGGGCATGGTAGTATGTGCCTGTAGTCCCAGTTACTTGGGAGGCTGAGGCAGGAGAATCGCTTGAACCCGGGAGGCAGAGATTGCAGTGAGCTGAGATTGTGCCATTGCATTCCAACCTGGTGACAAAGTGAGACTCCATCTCAAAAAAAAAAAAAAAAAAAAAAAGAACTCTCTCCCCAGCACCTCAGTGCCTCATTCCCCGGAGGATCCACACAGCTGCCTCAGATATCCAAGGGCTCCAGTGGAGGGCACAAAGGTTTCCTGAATGGTAAGGCTGCTGCCTCCCCTTGGCTTCATCAGGTGATCTCCTCCTCCACAAAGTATGGACTTGAGCCTCCCACTTGGACGTGTCTTTTTTTTTTTTTTTTTTTTTTTGAGACAGAGTCTCACTCCGTCACCAGGCACTAGGCTGGAGTGCAGTGGCACGACCTCGGCTCACTGCAACTTCCACCTCCTGGGTTCAAGCAATTCTCCTGCCTCAGCCTACCAAGTAACTGGGACTACAGGCATGCGCTGGACCTGTCTTTAAAGAAGCCTGAACATGTCCTTGACTCCCGGAGCCCTTCCCACCATGTTTTCCTGTTGCCAGTGTCCTCTTCACAGGAGAGGTCCTTTAATTTTGAAGTTTTACTTCTGGGGTCTTGGAATAAATTTTACATCGTGCTCGAGAACAGGTTTTTTGTTGTTGTTGATTTTTTTTTTTTTTTTTTTTTTCTCTGAGATGGAATCTCACATTGTTGCCCAGGCTAGAGTGCAGTGCCGCCATCTCAGCTGACTGCAACCTCTGCTTCCTGGGTTCAAGAGATTCTCCTGCCTCAGCCTCCTGAGTAGCTGGGACTATAAGCACACACCACCATGCTTGGCTCATTTTTGTATTTTTGGTAGAGGTGGGTTTTCACCATGTTGGCCAGGCTGGTCTTGAACTCCTGATCTCAAGTGATTGGCCTGCCTCGGCCTCCCAAAGTGCTGGGATTACAGGCGTGGGCCACCACATCTGCCCAATTTTTTTCTGAGACAAGGTCTCGCTCTGTCACCTGGAGTGCAGTAGCATGATCATAGCTCACTGCAGCCTTGACCTCCTGGGTTGGAGCAATCCTCCTGCTTCAGCCTTCCGAGCAGCTGGGACTACAGGCCTGTGTCACGATGTCTGGCTAATTAAAAAAATTTTTTTCTTTTTTGGTAGAGATGAAGTTTCACTATGTTGTCGAGGCTGGTCTTAAACTCCTGGTCTCATTCCATCCTCCTGCCTCAGCCTCCCAAAGTGTTGGGATTAGAGGTGTGAGCCATTTCACAGTTAGAGAGCAGGTTTTGAAAGGGAAAAAACTGGGCCCTGGGGAGAAAGGGAGAGTCTGCAGTCCATTGTCTTTGAGTGACTAAGCAACCTGACCCAACTAAGGCCACTCTGTTCACCCGCCCCACCGTGTGTCCTCCTTCCACCCGTTCCAGGGAGAAATCCAGAGCTCTTCCCTGGAAGAAGGAGGGAAGTCTGTTTTAAAGATAAATATTAAGTAGGCCGTGGCTGACACCTGTAATCACAGCACTTTGGGAGGCTAAGGCAGGCAGATGACTTGAGGTTGGGAGTTCGAGACCAGCCTGACCAACATGGAGAAACCCCATCTCTACTAAAAATACAAAATTAGCTAGATGTGGTGGCACATGCTTGTAATCCCAGCTATGTGGGAAGCTGAGGCAGGAGAATCACTTGAACCTGGGTGGTGGAGGTAACGGTGAGCCAAGATCGCGCCATTGCACTCCAGCCTGGGCAACGAGCGAAATTCCATCTCAAAAAAAAAAATAAAAAATAAAAAAGATAAACATAAGTAATAGTAATATGCCAGAATCTGCCTCAAAATTATGCTATTTCACAAGCTTCATCATCTTCACGTTGTGTTCCATTAACATGATAAACAGAAAATAGAGAAAGCACAGTCAGGGACCAGGATAAACAGTCAGATTGAGGGGCCGTGAATGGAGTATTTTTAAGGGTAAGTGGATGTATCATCTGAATCCATAGAGTTACATGTGGTTATATTTGTAAGGCGTGTGGAAAATACAATAAGGAAAGTCCATGCATGTGGGGAAACAGGTGCCCAAGTACTTAGCACAGTGCCTGACACGCAGGAGCTCATCACCCATGTGCCATCAGAGGGATTAAGTGGGTTTTGGGGAGTAAAGAAGGTGTCTGTGTGGTTTTTTGTTTTGAGACAGGGTCTCACTTTGTCACCCAGTCTGGGTACAGTGATGCAATCACAGCTCACTGAAGCCTCCAAGGCCTGGCCTCCAATGACCCTCCTGCCTCAGGTCAGCTTCCCAAGTAGCTGGGACTACAACTGCACATCACCACATCCAGCTAATTAAAAAAAAAAAAAAAATTTTTTTTTGGCTGGGTGTGGTGGCTCATGTCTGTAATCCCAGCACTTTGGGAGGCCAAGGTGGGCCTTATCACTTGAGGTCAGGAGTTCAAGATCAGCCTAGCCAACATGGTGAAAACCCATCTCTATTAAAAATATAAAAATTAGCCAGGCATGGTGGAGAGTACCTGTCATCCCAGCTACTTTGGGAGGCCAAGGGAAGGGAATTGCTTGACCCAGGAGGCAGAGGTTGCAGTGAGCCAAGATTGGGACACTACACTCCAGGCTGAGTGACAGAGTGAGACCCTGTCTCAAAAACAATTTTTTTTTTTTTTTTTTTTTTTGAGACAGGGTCTTGTTATCTTGCCCAGGCTAGTCTCAAACTCCTGGCCTCAAGTGGTCCTCTCACCTCAGGTAATTTTTCTTTAGATAAAGGCAATAAAAAAGCAGCATTAGAAAACCAGAAACTGGCCAGGCGTGGTGGCTCAAGCCTGTAATCCCAGCACTTTGGGAGGCCGAGGCGGGTGGATCATGAGGTCAAGAGATCGAGACCATCCTGGTCAACATGGTGAAACCCCGTCTCTACTAAAAATACAAAAAAGTTAGCTGGGCATGGTGGTGCGTGTGCCTGTAATCCCAGCTACTCAGGAGGCTGAGGCAGGAGAATTGCCTGAACCCAGGAGGCGGAGGTTGCGGTGAGCCGAGATCGCGCCATTGCACTCCAGCCTGGGTAACAAGAGCGAAAAACTCCGTCTCAAAAAAAAAAAAAAAAGAAAAAGAAAAAGAAAACCAGAAACTGGTTGGGCTAGGTGGCTCATGCCTGTAATCCCAACACTTTAAGAAGTCAAGATGGGAAGATCATTTGAGGACAGGAGTTCAAGACCAGCCTGGGAAAAAGTGAGACCTCCTCTCTACAACAATAACATTGGCTGGGTGTGGTGGCATGTGCCACCACGTTGGATTGCTTGAGCCAAGGAGGCAGAGGCTGCAGTGAGCCATGATTCTACCACTGCACTCCAGCCTGGGCAACAGAAGCAAGAACCTGTCTCAATTAAAAAACAAATAGAAACTGAAGACCTGTGTGATGTGACATGAGGTTGTCTGTAAGAATGCTGACCAGTCGAGCCGGGCGCGGTGGCTCAAGCCTGTAATCCCAGCACTTTGGGAGGCCGAGGCGGGTGGATCACGAGGTCGAGAGTTCAAGACCATCCTGGTCGACATGGTGAAACCCCGTCTCTACTAAAAATACAAAAAAATCAGCTGGGCATGGTGGCGTGTGCCTGTAATCCCAGCTACTCAGGAGGCTGAGGCAGGAGAATTGCCTGAACCCAGGAGGCGAAGGTTGCGGTGAGCCGAGATCGCGCCATTGCACTCCAGCCTGGGTAATGAGCAAAACTCCGTCCAACATGGTGAAACTCTATCTCCACCAAAAATGCAAAAATTAGATGGGTGTGGTGGCACATACCTGTGGTTCCAGCTACTCTGGCATGAGAATTGCCTAAGCCTGGAAGCTGGAGGTTGCAGTGAGCTGAGATCATGCCACTGCACTCCAGCCTGGGTGACAGAAATTCTGTCTCAAACCAAAACAAAACAAATTAAAATATTTAAAAGTAATTTTCATTAGAAAATTGGCTGGGTGTGGTAGCTTACCATGCCTGTAATCCCAGCACTTTGGGAGGCCGAGGTGGGTGGATCACCTGAGGTCAGGAGTTCGCAAGACCAGCCTGATCAATATGGTGAAACTCCGTCTCTACTAAAAATACAAAAATTATCTGGGTGTGGTGGCGTGTGCCTGTAGTCCCAGCTACTGGGGAGGCTGAGACAGAATTGCTTGAACCTGGGAGGCAGAGGTTGCAGTGAGCCAAGATCACACTACTGCACTCCAGCCTGGGCGACAGAGCGAGACTCAGTCTCAAAAAAATAAGTAAATAAATAAATAAAATTCATTGAGGATTATTTCCTGAACAAAAAATACTTTAAAAAAATCTTCACTCCATCTCCCATCTCATATTTGATCTTTACCATGATCTTGTAAACTAGATGGTGGCAGGGATATTTCTTATCCCTAAACCCAAATCTAACATGGGGAAACTGCATCTACAGAGCTGCAGTTCTGCTTGAGTTTGGCCTGACTTCACTCTGCTAATGCAAGACAAACCACACCACAACCCCATTTCCTACTTATCCCAATATTCTTTCTACTCCATCATGTTGATTTGTGGTAATCTGGAGCTGACAGCAAATTGTGCACTGTATGTATTTTGGATACACTAAAAGATGTGAT